CTCCTGCATGCTTAGTGTTTCATTTTTCGGCTTGAGCCTAGTCGCGCAAGACCCCGGCTCGCAGACAACTGCCTGAGCATGCATTTAGAATTGCATGCAGATGCCGTGGTCTTGCTAGGTGCGAGCTTAGGTTCAGCCCCGTCAAGTCATGTTTATCAGAAGCAGCACAATTTGCCAGAAATTCTGGACAATAAAATTGCTGCAGGCAACAAGGCAACATCACGCCCAAATCATCACCAACACAGGGTGGTGGGGCGGTGGGGCAGCCACCTGGCAAAAGGCTTCATGTACACGGAACGAGCAACCCGAAATCTTGCACACAATCTTGGTTTTTCGATCCAAGTCGTACAACCTCAACCTTCATGCCTCGAGGATTGGGCTTGCTGTTGGAGTCCTCTTTGGGCCCTTGTCGGCAGGGCTCGGCGCGGCGATCGGTGCGGCCCTGGGCTCTCTTTCGGGTGCACTTCTTGGGGGCACCTTCAAGCCGCTTGTATGGCCAGAGGGTCGTTCGAGAGTGATGTTCATTCTCGTGATTCAGTGATTCTCCATGCTGTGCCATCCCTGGTTGTGGTCTGCAAGGTCGTGGATCTTTGATTATTTCCAACTCCCGGAAGACAAGAAGCTGCAGTATGCCTATGCATTCCTTGAGATTTCGCCTGATGCTTCAGACCAAGAGGTCGCCAGAGCGTACCGTGAGAAAGCACGCCAGGTCCACCCGGACAAAGGTGGTTCTGACGAAGAGTTCAAAATTCTCGCAGTACATGTTGAGGTAATCAAGGCACACCGTGCCCGCACAGCGAGTGCTGATAGCCCAAAGTCGGCTGAAGCGCAAGGGTGCAGTGCTCCTGCCCTGTCGCTTGCTCAGGTCTTTCTGTGAACTTTATCGCAGTAGGCAAGCCTGCAGTAATGAAGCGTCCTGGCAGGGTTTTCCTACCCGGTTTTGTCGCGCAGCTCGAAGTCCGAAGCTCAATGCCAGAAAAGGATTGCTCTTTACCGGCGTGCATGCCCAGGTCCTGCTCCGACCCGAGCTTTTCACGACAGCCCTACAGCCCCAAGAGGATTCCCGACTAAGAGATGGTTTCAACATGGAACTCATCTAGCAGAACTTATGATGAATACTAGATCGGGAGATAAATTTGCCCTCTCCACAAAGGCAAAACGCGCCTCTAGGGGCAAGAATCACGCAATATCATATAAGTATATCATGTAATTATACTAATGGGTTCTTGTTTCATTTGTTTCACGATCAGCAACGAAGATCAAGAAGACCAATTGCATTCGGTTCTTTCTAT